TTTGTTCACGAAGCTAAAGTTGGAAATATTGTCACATAGAGACTGTTTAATGAATATAAAATGCAGTTACTATATTATATTTATGTTTTATAGATTAAGTAGAAGTTATTTCTTTCTTAATATTTTTTCGGATATATTTATAAGTTGATATGAAGAATTTTAATATATTTTAATAGATTTATTTTAATTATGGACTACAATAACGACAGCACAATACGTCAAAACCTATTCAACATTATTTAACTACAGATATTTAACGGTTGAATTTTTGTAATTTTGTTACGCCCACTTGTTTACAACATTCAATTGAAACATTCTATAGATTTATAAATAACAAAACATTTCTATAGATTTATAAATAACGTAAGTCGCAAAATTTTCAAGTAATTTTCCTTTTAGAACTAACTATTGTACGGCGGCTTGACCGTCATATTTTGGTATCAAAATAAGATAATACGCCTGTGGCTATAGGACAACTGAATACAAAGCTATATTAATCCTTTAGACAGACGGTGTCATTGGTCGAGTTAGTGCTCTAGTCACCTTCAGGCTTAAAATAGACAGAATTAAGTAAAAGTTCCTTGGATAAATTGTCACCGGTAAAGTTGTAAAGGCACAACCGTCAGTCTAGTTCGAAAGTAGAGCTTTGTGTTGTATACAGCTTAGAATTGTTTATTTGTATATACCGAGTTTCCAAGATTGAACCTAACGATCAAAATTCCAGTGATAGTATCTTTGAAACTAAATATCTTCTAAGAATATCGAAGATTAAGAAACAAAATAAATTTTAAGGTTTTGTTCCATAAAAAAGAGCAACTTCTTTTCGTAAAGAAATTAATATGGGGTTAACAAATAACAAAGAGAATAATCCCTATAGATAGCAAAACAATACCCATTACTGAGATCTTTGTTTTTTATGTTTCGCTTTTGATTTTAAAAGTGAAATACACTCATGTAAGCAAGCAAGCAGCAAGTATGTAGCTGCTTAAATTAGAAGTATAAGTGGGACTGATAAGTCCGTACAGATTTTTATAGTGCCAAAATCAGGTTTATATTAGTACGTGTAATGAAAAATCATATCGATAAAAAAGTAAACATGAAAATAAATCAGACTCAAGTACCACATCTTTTTATAATGTTCTCATTCCTATCTCCTGCTGCTAACACTAGTCTGTCAACGCGTAAGAATGAAGTAATGAAGCTTATATATATAAAACCATTCACAATCGTATATGCATGCAAATATTTGAAAGAACAGTGAACGAGGGAGTATTCAGTCTAAAGTTTTTTCAAATGTTTACGTAAACATGCTTAAGAAGTATATTGTATGCATATTATTTACCATAAAAAGTTTTATATAATAAATCTTCAATGCGATGATAGAGACTTTCAATAGTAAGTCGATAGAATAAAAATAAAGAATTTATATTTATGCTGATGTCTAATTAAGAGAGATTCGTGTCTAGTATTAGAAATAGATTATAATAATCATGGTCAAATGAAAAAGTGAAATGAAGTACACTAAAACTGGGGTAAAGGGATTATTAGTAATGGAGATTGAGAATCCCATTGCTAGCAATATACCCAACCAGGTCGACCTCTCGCGGTTCCCCCTGGAAACTATCATGGTTAATTCCTGATGAATTTATCATGATGGGCTAACTGGCCTGTTTTCATTTTCATTTATCACCCTTCATTGGTGCTCCGCCAGCGTATCCCATTAACGCAGACGGAGTCACCATTACCATACCATTTTCACCCATAAAAAAAGTACACTAAAACTAGGCACACTCAAAATACTAAGTTCGTTGTTAATTGTGTGGTGTTCCTATTTCACTCGACGTAAGTACCTTACCAACTTTAACGATAAGTTTCAAGTAACATAGAAGACGTTTTCCTAAATGAATACCCATGAGATTCCTACGATTTCTGTGAACTCAGATTTTGCTGAATCTAACCTGTGCGTCGTTAGTATAACATACGGTCGGGACGTAGGAACAGAGGAGAATTCTGTGTACCTAATACATAACCATAAGAAAATGGCAAGAAAATTAAAAATAAAATTAGATGTTCAGCAACCAAAGTTTTAAATCATCCAATGTTAGTAAGTTAAATATTATGCACATTTTAAAAAGAAATTTATTGTTATTTAAATTTAAATAGGTGAGTAGGTTCACAGATAGATACATACATTCCATTCTGCTTGGAAAAATCTCTTTATAATTTCATTTCATTATCATCACCATAATAGCCGTTTACTGTCCACTGCTGAACATAGGCTTCCCCCAAAAAGAAGGTTTTGCCAGTAGTTGTCAACCTTGATAAGTGAATTGACAATTGCAGTTAGGTTTTGGTGATGTTCTAAGAGGGACATTGCTGTTCATCCCTCGAACATTAAGTTCTCTTAGTCGCTTGTTACAACACCCACGTAAAAAGAAAAGGTGGCCCATTCTATATCGGGATCACACGGCATAATTTCATTTACCCACGCATATTTCATTTCGTATATTTATTCAGAGATTTAATTATTATCAATCAATTTCACCACACCATCCATTATTTATGCACGAAACTACGCTGAAAATATTAAAGGGAAGTGAAATTAAAATTTATTAATAATTTATTATCATCAACGTAATAAAATTTTACAATGTTACTTTACATTTAAACAACAGATGTATAAATATGCTGCAAACACTCTGTTTTGATTGTCACGCTTAAAAACCTACTCGCGAAGACAGTGTGTCGTCGTAACGCTCAAGGGCGGGTGTGCTGAGCGAGTGCTTAAGTAGCAATGATAATTAAGCTTAACGATGTTAGAGATGTGCAAACTGGTTAAGCCGAGCTCCTTTATTGCTTATTTTGTAGCAATATTCGTTTAGGGAACGAGTCTTGAGAATTAAGAAGTAACGCTAATTGTGTCATTGCAATCATTAGCACGAGATTGGGGTCGATTTATATGAGCGTTGAAATAGCTAGATGCGAATAATTCTTATAAAGAGTGTGAAAACAAAAATAGATGGAATATTTATGTAAATCATCCAAGGGGCTCGTGGAATGAGAATACCTATATTCCGCGCATTGTCGCATGATGCGGGTGACAACCGATATTTTCGCATTTTATTGTATTGAGTGAGATTTTTTAAATTGAAGTCAGTCTCAATTCTAGATACTCTTTCATGATCAAATGTTATGTTGAATCTGAAGTTAGGTTTTACGAGTACATTTTACTCTAAGATCTTATCATATATTGTACTGTATAATACTAGCCGTTAACTGTCCATTGCTGGACATAGGCCTCCCCATAAAGGGAGGGGGAGTTCCACTAATACCTACTATATATATTATAATGTAAGGCTATAATTTAGTAACTTAAAGTTTTAATGAAAATAGTCACTTTCACGTTTTCTTGTAAAAAAAACTATCCACAGAAAATATAAAATATAATATAAAATTATATAATGCGTAGCTAGGTATATACTTATTATTATATTTTTATATGAAAAAGTGAAAGTGGCCAATTTAAACATTATGAAAGTTACTAAATAATGAACGATTGAAAATAACAGGTTCTCGGCAGTAAGTGCTTTTATTTTGAAGTTAGAAAAAAGTTGCTTTACAGAGAATCCAAATGGTGTACATTATGGATCACAAATCGATTGAATATATACAAGATAATTAAATATTCTAATTAGTGGTTTGTACATTTAATTTGATAATTATATAAAAGACTATGTTTGTCTTTAAATCGAAATAGTTTGTAGGCAGAATACGAAATAATATCGTTTATCGTTTTTTTGTTATTTTCAGTAAAAACGGAACAGGCATTCGTGGACAGAAAATTTACTACTGAACTAGATCAATATCTTTAGACAGTCTGTAATTCCATTCCTAAGATCGACCTAGATAACATGTTTTTTGCAAGCCTAGATTGTCTTTGTGATTACATTCAACGTTCAAACGTAGCTAGCGCGTGGAATATATTACATACGCACAGATAACCCTTTTGCAAAAAAAGGACACTTAACATTTATCCTTATAACTAGAGAGATATTTAAAGTGGTTTTATATATTCAAATATCTTTATCATTTATATAAGTAATAAAATTGAACTAGCCGGTAAAAGATGTATACGTGAAATTTTTATATAATTTTAAAAATATTCCTTTTAAATTCAAAAGTTTATTAAACGTATATTATTGTATATATACTATTTTAAAAATAACTATTGTTATTATAGAAAATATCATAAAGTATACATTTAGTTTACAGTGTTATCGGAAAGGTTTACCTGGATAGATGTTAAATCACTTTGGTCTCAATTATCCCTTTCGAATTACTTTCTGAACACGTATAATGGTAAGTCTCCATGCACGAGTATAAGCGTAGTCGAAATTTTTGCATTCATTTGAGTAAGTTTAGTTAACGTGTATATCGTAAAAAGATTTAAGTTTTACTGTCCTTTTATTTAGGTGTAGTGCCTATTTAGTGTATAGTTCAATTTTGCTTGATCACTAAGAACATTTTCCTCCATCATTCTCTCCTGTTGTATGTGTGCTATTAAGTATGTGTATATTTATATAATTATACGTATCTATATATTAGTGACTATATAATAGTGCGCCACCTACACTTTGTCTTTTTTCTCAATGTCCTCTACTCAAAGGTTGTCTGGAAGAAATTGCTTAGAAATAAGGCCGTCTTTCGTATCACGCCTCATTAACATTCACAGTATTTATTATATTTAACTGGTGCAATCAAGTGTTAATAAATAAATAAACCTACATACGTACTTACAAACGTATACTGAATATAAAAAATCGGCATGTCGTAAATATATTTTTTCAGCGCCATTTTTGAAGTCTGTCGAAAATACTGTGTTTAAGTTTTTTTTTATACCACTGAGGTGGCAAATAAGCATACGGCCCACCTTAATGATGTATGTAGATTGAAATTTTAAACACTGTATGGTGGATAACTTATTCTCATATTAAACTTACATACGACATCAAGTTTGAATGAATCTTCTATACTCTGGTCTGGAAGTGCGCTGTTGTCTGCTTGACATTTGAGTTGTACCCCATCGTCTTCTGGCATAGGCATAAATTGTAGGGAGCTGCTCACCCATGTCTCGTTTTGTGATTCTGTTATCTACAATAATAATATATTTAATTTATTAAAAAATGCAGTCAATGCAAAAAAAAAGAGGTATAAAGTTGAAAAGAGTTTTAGAAAGTTCAATTTTAACAATAAAATATTGATCATTGTATCAACTCGTTAATGCAGTATTGTCAAAAAGAGGTCTCTTAACATAAGAAGAATATACATAGTAACTTGATTAGAGTTGTAATAAAATTATTTTTAAATATTATTATTTTTGATTAGATTTTAGATTAGAGAACATATTTGCAAATTCATGTTAATATATTTAAATTTTGAGTCCTTTTTCTAATGTATTAATATATTGGCTTTAGTTTGTCAAATAATCTATTACGATATTTTATGTAGTAGAAAAATGCTCATATATTATATTGTAATTAGTCACTATGCAATGAGATGAACAAAAAATATATTTAGATATAATTTCAATACTATATTGCTTAAGTAACATATCCTAATAACATGAGATTGAGGGGCAAGGGATTGTTATTAATGGAGTTTGACAGCCTCATTGTTAGCAATATGCCTTATTAGGTCGACCTCCACGTGGTTCCCCCTGAAAACCATCGTGAACAATTCTTGTTGAATTCGTCACGATGGGCTAACTGACCTACTTCATCCTCACCTATCATTCTTCACTGGTGCCCCGCCGGTGTATACCGATAGCGCGGGTGGGGTTACCATTCCATTATCATCCATTAAAAAATAACATGAAATTGATAATATTGATCTATGTACCTATGTTCCCTCGAAAGTTTAGAAATTATTTACTATCATTTATTTGAGAAGACTAGACTATTTTACCATCCCACCGACTCAAATAACAGACAGGCTTAGGCTTAAATTAATTACAATTAGAAATTCTATGTACCTACTATCAAAAGCCTTCAATTTGATACTATTTATAATTATGAGTTTCGGAAATCGTTAAATAAATGTATATAATTTTGATACAAATGTTTAATACAAGCAGTTCAGTAAGCATTTTAATAGATTTTAATATATATTACACATACTTCAATCAGTTGTTAAGAACCCATAGTTCAAGCCATACTTAGTATGGGATTAAATAGCTATACGTATAAAAATAATGCACAAAAGTATTTAAGTGCACAAGTTGAAACATCCATTGGAAATCAGAGTCAAAATGTAGTAAGAAAACATATTGTGTTCTAAAAGCTACTCGTATTTAAATGTATATCTGTGATCCACCCTTTTCTCCATCATCTTAGTCCACTTTGAAGGTCCCCTTTTTCTTGTTCATTGATCAAACTATAAGTCTGAGCCTTTATTTTACCAAAAGTATTCGCAAGTAGGTAAGTACTTGACTAAACTTCTAAATTACAAAACACTATCACAAAATATCCACTTTCAAAGTTTTAAGTATTTTGTCATAGACTAGATAAGTACCGATTGAATATCAAAAGATATATACCTTTTGATATTTGTCTATTAGATTAGACCTACGAATTTGAAACTTGGAATTAAATTAGATTATTTTACAAAGACAATGAAAAAAATACCTATTTTCTATAGTACATGAAAATTACAAAAGAATGATGATATTATTTTTACTATAAAAACTAAATATGTTTCAATATGAAGTAACATCGAAATAAATGAATTGCGTTAAAAGAGAAAAAAAAAACTGTGTTTTCACGCCTCATTATTTTTCCATTGTAAACAATTTATGTTTAAACTAGAAGAAATAATTGAAATGCATATTGATCATACCATAAGAATAGGTAGCAAAGAAATGTGATATACGTATGATACGATGTGATGTACCATAAGATATTTTTTTTACCTTTTTTTGTACTACTTGCCTGACAAACAAGCTTACAGCCCGTCTAATGGTAAACGGAGTTACCGTAGCCTATGGACGTCTGCAACACCAGGGATATCACGCGCGTATTGTTGATCCTCAAAAAAATCTTATTACGCCCTTTTTGAAGAATCGTATGCTGTAGCCTTTACGAAAAGTCTCGAAACCTATTAATATTATTATTATATTCAAATAATTATACCTTTCCTCTTCTGAATTTTCTGTTGTCCTTGTACCATGTCAGTTGTGCAGGAGGCCGACTACCCTCCGAAATACAAGTGAGGTTCACGTACCGTTCTGATGATAATGAAGTTGGTTTATTTAGAATTTCAACTCTTGTTGGTTTCACTGGAAGAAAGACAGGAGTGCTGTTAATTTGTATATTAGTAAATAACTTCAATAAAAATATTGTATCATGTGACTACTGCAGTAAAATAATTATATATAAAAGTGTCTACTGCGCAGGTTTATATATATATATATATATATATATATATATATACATCTATTTAACTTGTTCTTCGCAAACTGTTTATTACTGCATGTAGTTATACAACGTATTTACATTATTATATTTATAATATGTAACTGCTATAAAAGATTGGACTATTGTAAGACCATAAATGTAGTAAGTTACTTCTTGGAAAAATAATCACGATGGGCTGACTAAACAGATTTCATATTAATCTATCATTTCTACTGGTATTTTGTTAATAATACCAATAGCACTGGTGAAATTACTATTCTATTTTCATCGAATAAAAAACTTTCACTTACAAAAAGTACTTACACAGTTTTACTTTACAACACAACATTTCATATCTGTACCTACTTATTATATATAACTTGATATTAAGTTTATTTTTACACATGGCCCGTTTGCCTTATCAGATCGTCATTTTTATAGGGATCTAAAAATAGTAAGTACCTAAGCAGTGGGCGATAGACATGTTCTTATTAACTTATTCCCCTTATATGAACATGGTGTTACAAGTTCTTAGTAGTTTGTTTACGTTAAAGTTGTGTTATTTATGAATTAATAATATACACATAAAATCAATACATATTTAATTTCATGCTAAAATACTCATTGGAAAGTTCGAATATTGAATTACAGATTAAAAAGGTTACCTTTATCCAAATTATAAAAAGAATCTTTGAAATAATAATATAAATATTTTATATTATGCCAGCATTTTTCGGATGTATACATATTAAGATTCAAAGAAGTTATTGTTTTTGTTGTATTTATCTCGTATTATTAATACTTATTAATTTTAATTCACAGATTTTTGGTAATTTAAATAACTTTGGGTTAGCTATTATATAATTATTCATTTTAAAATGTTAATAAAAGTTATTGTAAGTATCTATTTAGGTAGATAGTTTGTGATATAAGCAACAAAGAAAATGAATATATACAAATATATTCTAAACCAGTTAGTCCAGATCGAGAATAAAAAATATTTACTGCTACAATGGTAAGTGATTATTTAACATATCTATGGATTCGGTAATAGTATTAAATGTTTTAGTTTAATAATAAGTATAAAAACAAATAAAATAAAGTATTACTCACAGTTCATTTCCAATCGCACAGTCTTATCTTGTGGACTAACAAGGTTAGTATTCGATGCTCGACATTTGAAGGTTGTATTTAGGTGACTTCTTCTCACATGTGGCAGCTCTAGTTTGTTCACAACCACATGTGTATCTGTTTTCTCGTTGACATATTGAAGCGCTGGGTTCCCGTCTATTAGCCATATCACAGTTGGAGCTGGCCGGCCTGTATGGATAAATAAAAAAATATATAAATAAAATTTTAAAATTCGAATAGCTTGTCCCTCTACAGGTTCAATGAAGCGAGGGGGATTTTTTTTTGTATAAATATAAATAGGAGGTCAAATAACAAAGGTGTCCTAGGAAAATATCGAATTCGTGTACCTTTGAGGGAAATTAATAAAATTTAATTAAGCGTGTGAAGTCGCAGTTAAAGTAACAATTACGTACATAAATACTAGCATTCTATGTTTAAGCTAATAATTTATTATAAGTAATGAAAAAAAATGTTTATATATCTACGTACAATTAGGAATGTTATCATCAACCGAAACCTTCAAACCTATAAAACTATTTTCCACTGCACATTTTTCACAACGTTTTAGCTTTCATTATAAAGAATTTAGTGATATAGCGGTTTAATATCACCTCATCTTCCGATATGTCACAAATATCGGCGATAATTGCAAAACAAATTTGTCTACTAACATATAGAATAGAATGTTCATTATAAAAGGGCGACACATTTTATTTTTTTGCCTGTAGCAGCAAAATAGATTCGGCACGGTATGTGTTTTTAAATTTGTTTGCATTTTTTTATATATATGTTTATAAGTTGTCTAAGACTCATCCCATAGATGTACATTGTTTATGATTATACATACATATCAGTCACACCTGTCTCTTATTAGGGTAGGCGGAAACAATGAAACGCCAAATAATATTATTGTATTGCGAAATGTAATGGGTTTACTGTTATTTAGATTAGATTATTTATTTCGAATTTAATACAATTATTTGTATAAATAGATGTTGAAAATAATTACCAAAACTTTGTCCAAAAACATTTGTGGGTATACAAATTAAAAAAATGAATTTGTTCTTTATTCAGTCATTTCATTTATCGCAGCACACCACAAACATTAATAATTTTTTTTCGTGAAGACTATCCAAGTTTTGGGTTTTTTTTTAATTATAATTTGTATAAGTTTATATTTAAATTAATAAATCTTATAATATATATATATATATATATATATATATATATATATATATATATATATATATATATATATATATATATATATATATATATATACAAACAAGAAATGAGAAAAGATAGTGAATCTAGTTTACCTTATAACCTACTGGCGCTACTTTCAATTTTCATTGTAATATATACTAATTCTTTACTTTAATAAATATATATTAATTGTATTTGAAGAGCACATTAAAATTTTATTAATAGAAGACGATAAATAATTTCTATGAAATCAAATTGTAGATTGTATAAAATTAAATCGGCACAATGGCACAATTGAGTTGCTTTCGTAAATATAAATTATGAATTCTGTCAATGATTTTAGCAGTACCAAATTAAATTGAAGTAAATGTAGGTGTATATTTTTTATTAATTATAATCTAATTTGATTTGTGATTTTTAATATGGCAAGTGTATTAATAAAATATTATGATGATGATATATCGAAATTAAGTGAAAATATAAACAATATTTAAATTTAAAAATATAAATTAGGTACAAGTATCTTATCGTACTATTATAATACAATTATAACTGATACATGGAAAATATTTAAGAAAAATTTATACGAGAGAATTGATAAAATCTTAGAAACTTTGTCTATCTATATGTTTGTTCTGGCATCATGCAAAAACTATTACACCAAATTGGAAGCAGTTTTCATAGTTGTATTCTTAAAGGTGTAACATAAAATATGGTGTTGGTTTCATCTTGATACGCAAACTACAAGTGGTATATTTCATTGGGTTTCTTAGTTCTAATTTATATGCGTATGTAATAGCAAATTTTTATTAATATTCTAATATTATATATAAAAAAGCTTTTAAAAATGCTTGTCATTCAATCTATCTTAAATATCTTAATTGACTTTAGTAAACAAGTAGGATATATTCTAAATTAACTTATTAACTTTACCTGTACAATTATTTATATACTAATGCATACTCGTACTATAAAGTAATGCACGAGTACAACTATAGAAAATGCCAGTGTGTAAGTTCCATCAATATGTTATCATAATACATACAACTAATTCGCATGATTGAGGTTTTTAAGGAAAATATACTAATAGGTGTTATGTATTAGTAGTAATAGTTAAGAATGTGTGAGTGGTTGCATCCACTATATATATAATTTACTTGTCGGTAATAAACCAGTGTGCTACAAACGACTTGCCGCATCACTTGTCCGTATACGCCTATCTAACAATAGGCTACATATCCTTAAAATTAAAATGCATTGTACATTCCTGACACTTTATACTAAAACAACACAGAGCCAAAATTATGCCATCATTATCATATTACGGTATCATTATTATATAACCAGATATACGGAGTAGTTCTATTGCCAATAACGTGCCTACAGTATAATTATAGCTTAATTTTTTTATTTAAATTTTCAACTATTTGTTTCAACAAATATAACCTGCATTTTTATACTGTAGCACTTGTCAGTTGTTAACAAGTTTTTGTTGAGATAATATAGCACTCGTTCAAACCTAGTTACATTGTCGTTTATTTAACTTTTAACCGCTGTAGTTAGTTAGTCCAATTACCGGTGTCAAGATAGTCGTATGCTGTCAGAAGTGCTAGAAACCGCAGCTTGCTTGTTAATGACGTTTCAAGGGCTTAACATCATTATTTCTTTAATTAATAAAAGGCAAATTTAGTTTTCGACTACATATGACTATTTTCATGCGATATATAATATAGAATGGGTGCACAAGAAGAAAAGGGTACAAAACAGTACTTATACGAAATTCACCTACAACGTTACCCCTATTTCACTGGTGTTGCTACCGCAAAGCGGCTGTGCTTGCACATTTGTTTTAATTTGAAGGAAAGACAATGAAATTTGTGGCTAAGTAAGGAAAATATCCTAGTCCCCAGGAATAATAATCAGGGGGATCTACAAAGAGTATCATAACGTTTTTTTATGACATCTTTCCACAGTGTATAAAATATAGACAGGTACGCTCGTATTCCAAGCCGTTTCGCCAGTATGATGATATCAGCATTTATATCCGTTTATAAGGAGACCTATGCCCAATAGTGGGACTCTAATGGACTGTCGTAGCTTTTTTTAATGGATGATAATTGACTGGCAACATCGCCCGTGCTAACGGTGAATGAATTTTTTTTGTGCAACTTAGAATGGCAAACAAGCTGACGGTTCACCTGATGGAAAGTGGTAACCGTCGCCTATAGACATTAGCTGTATTATGGACATAACAGAGTAAACTGTTTCGCCCATGATACCTCCCAATCCTGAGGACTCAGGTGTTATTTCTCTGTAGTCTGTAAATGCACTGCCGTATTGCTATACTGCCATCTTTCAAACCGAACACAGCCATCCAAACACAACTGCTTCACGCTAGAAACACGTATGAGACAGAGGTGCCCTAGCAAACGACTTTTGTGCAGTCTCCCTCTGCTAATTGCTATATTATTTAGCTCATCGTGATGAATACACAATACGTTCAGCATAAAGGTTTCTTGGAGGAACCACGTGGAAGTCGACCTAACAGGGAATATTGCTAGCAATGGGATTGGTAGTCCGCATTGGTAATCCCTTCTCCTCGGTCTCTTGTAGTTAGGATATTTTAATGTTAATGAATGAATTGCAGTATTTGAAATATTATGCAAAAGTTTATCGTGTAACAATCTGTCGATGGGCCTAATATTCGAATAAAGTAGAACAAAGTAAAGCTAGCACGGAGGTACGTCTTGGGCGCGGCGCTGCCATAATTACGTTATCGTGGCCTACTATGGGTGTTATAGAGTGACCACTCTCTCTGTAAAATATAGAATTTGGAATAAAAAACAAAAAGATATATTCTTTATTTATAGAGAACGCCGAAAGAAGATATTTTAACACACACTGAGATTAGAGATAATGAAATTATGTATTAATAGAACAATTAGTAATGTGATATAACTTCCGACTCGTTTATATTTTTAAAAGTAATAAGAGTAAAAAAATTGTAAATTTTCAATTATAATGAAATATAATATATCGGTATCGTGAGAGTGCTTGAACAATTTTCATCAGTATTCATGTGGATTTGGTAATATGACATTTTTAATAAACCTATGCATCTTCTAAAAAGGTTTTACTAATACCTTTCTTAATGGAATTTACATAACAAAAGTTTGCTTAAATGAGTTTTGGGTTAGCTATATACTTTTAGATTAATATAGCGTACATTATATTATTGAAGTATATTTTTATTCAGTTACTACACTACACTTACAGAATTATTGCAATAGGATCAAAATTATTGAATAATTTTCTATCAAAAATAAAATACATGGTCACCGCAGTGGGTCGTATTGATCATTCTACGTCAACAAACTTAGTTGTTCTTATAAACTTATATACGATAGCAAACTTTAGTTATACAAACATGAAATTTATTGATAATGGAATTTTTAATATATACTTAGAAATAATTGTATAAGTACAGATTTTTATAAGTCACAATCACAGTTTATGACGTGATGCTATCGGTAGTAAATTTCAGATAATATCTTTAATCTGTGGTAGTAAGCAATTACCAAAGATAGAGAATACTCGTACTATTCTTAATCTATGGTAATAACCGAAACCTTAAAATGCTTGTACAACCTACCCCTCTCAATATCAAAGGTTATACCTTTCTATTAACGATATTGCACAGCCATAACTATAATACGTCCATTAATGGCCTACTATTGAACATGGGTTTCTTCCCATAGATATTAGTGAACTATTGCCAGGCTGTGCAAGCGATTTGTTATAGGACTTTATTTCGAATTTTCCTTCTTTTGTATTGCTTGTACTACACTTTGTTCACTTAGTTGCCATTAAATGTCTGTTTGCTGTCGCTATGTTCGGAGTTCGGAATATACTAGTAGGTATTTTTCAGTTGTTTCCTGTGCCTATAATGAGTCTTCATTAAAAAATCATTGGGCCGAAGCCTC